GTGTGTGTGTGTGTGTGTGTGTGAGATCATGAGAGTGAGACAGAAAAGAGGGCATTAGTTGAAAGACGTTTTACAATGTTATATATGTTTGATTGCCATTTACTGAACTCTGCTTTTAAGTTAATGTAATAAAAAACAAGAATCCACACGTGACAACTGTGTTTTTCCAAACAAAGCTGGGAGGGCGTTTGCTAGCACTAACAAAGCAGCGCCCCGGGGTCTGTTCGAGGAAGCAAGTTCAACATACCCAGGATATCTTTTTGTTATCTGGCTTCACTAAAAAAAAAGAAAAGAAAAAGTAATGTCCGACTCTTTCTGCTGCCAAGAGGAGAGAAGAGAAGGAAAAATGTTATGACTGATGAGGTCAACCTGACCGTCAAGTTCATTTAAAATCATGGGATTTATCAGAGTGTGGATACATTTTCTAACATAAGTCAACAGAGTTTAAGGTTTAGTTTTCATTCCTGTTTATCTCCTTGTGTTGTTCTGAGCAGCTGTGATTGAATAAATGTGTAAAAACATTAACGTTACAGGAAATTCTGTGTGGAATGTTTGTTCAGTTCAGTTAAAATGCTGATATAATTATTCTCATGTATTTGTAGTAATATATTCATCCTCCATTTGAGAGTTGAGATGTTTCAAAAGTAGACACAGAGTGGATACATGGAAAGTCTGGATCTATAATAATACTTTTTAATGTTCCTGTAGGAAGATTAACTCAACGTTCCAGTGGTCTAACTGGTCAGTTGTTGGGTTATTAACAAGTTTTCACAAGTCACAGTTTAAGAGGTCAAATAAAAGAAACCATAGCGATTTAACTCTGAAATAATCCTGAAGACACCTCACTTCCACAAATCCTGCTTCATATAGTACAGGCCTAGTTACACCAGTCATCCAAATAAATACTACCTTTGAATAAAACAGAAATAAAAAAGAAAAGCTTTGTTGTCGTTGTACAAAAGAAAGCAATAAAACAAAACTAGAGGTGGTACTTCTGAAAAACTCCAAATTAATATTAAAAAGATTAAATCTGATGAAAGAAACAAACCAATACATTCACAACCAGTGAATAAGAGACTAATAAATACATTAACATGGTCAGAGGCTGTCATGTTTTAACTTTTCCACTTCTGACATTGTGATGTTGTCCATTAGTGGAAATAAGTGAAAATACACAGGAAACACCACATCCTACATTATATCTATTATATTTCTGCAAGATGGTCGTGTTGAACTGTTTGATGCAACGCACGTGTTGTATATAATTCCCTCTGACCGCTTTAAGCACACACCTTATCTGCTCATGTCCAGTCTGACCACCACAGAAAACTTCTGAATTAATCGTTTGTCGATGGTTCAGCGTCGGTTTCGATGGATGACGTATTATTTGTGGGACAGGTCTGAGAGCAGCAGGGGCAGATAATCACTGGAGTCCTCTTCAACAACACTGTCACTCCACAAAACAAGGTAACGCCGCTGCGCCTCCAGGAAAATGAACCCGCAGGATGAGTGTGACAGGGTCGGGCAGCCGGGGACGTTAGCAAGAAGCTAAACTTGAACCGAGGCAGTTGGTGGTTGAATGCTAACGTAGCTTCGTGTTTACTGTTGGTGTTCGGGGTCGAGGGTGTCACAGCTCCCGGGTTCACAGCAACACATTGTTGGATGATGACGAGCTTTGACTGGAAGTCCAGAAAAAAACACGACACCGGGCTTAGTTACCCCGAGATAGCAGCGGCAAGCTAAGTTAGCTAACGTTAGCCAGAGGTTTTCATGAAAGAGGAAGGCTAGCTTGTTAACTGCACTTTAAATGTTTGACTCTAGTTGGTCACATGTCAGTAGTGTTGTGCGATTGTTTACTCATTGCACTACCTCTGCAGATCTGCGTCGTGTGACTTGAATATACGTGCTTATTATTATTATTATTATTATTAAATTAGCATTAGCTTAAATGCTGTTCACCACACGTTATTGCTAGTGTGCAGTTAGCCAGTGTTGGACAGTGGTTGTTCTGATGAACCGAACTTTCCGTGGCTGGTTCGTGCAGGGGGAGGATGTCTGCAGCGGCTCTACGTCTGATCCGCTGCCGGAAACTGAGCACAGCTGGGCCCGGAGTCAAGAGAGCGATCCAGTGGAGAGATTTAAGTGAGTCAATGGAGCTGGATTTGATTGAATTTAACTCTTAATATCGACTGCAGCTATCTCGTAAATCGAATTGCTATAAATACATTGCTTCAGTCTGCTTGGTTAATTCAGATTTCTTCCTGTTTGAATGCAGGGAAGGTTGCTAAAGTAACTGGAGCGGTCGTTTTAGGGTAAGGTGCTTTTAATACTTTAATACTGATGTGTGCAGTTTGAGTCAAAGATCATAAATGTGCTTCCACTGGTCCGTCATCTCCCTGCAGGGGCTGTCTTTTTATTACATACGAGGTCGTAGCCCTGGACAAGGCCGTGACCATCGACACGAGTGCAATTTATAAAGAGAAGTACAAGTCCTACATTTATCTGAGAGCCTCGCCCACAGATGAGAAGGAGAATCTCGCTGCAGGTAATATATAGTCTTAATTCAGTCACTTTAAACACCTCACGAGACTGACAACAACAATACCATGTTGAAATGTTTATCTAGTTTAGATTTATTGGCCAGATGTTTGGCAGCTGGTAAATATGCTGAGTGGCTTCATGTCTTGTATGAGCAAGTTTGTCGTGTCCAGGTGTCCAGTGACATCTGCAATCATTACTTCCCATCTTTCCTTCCTTCTGCGCTCTACTATCTTTCCTGTCGGAATATTTAGGTCAATCTGTTGACTGATCTCCCTTCCAATAGTCAAGGTTCACTTACGTAATGGTACAAACACCAACCAAGTATATACTCTGATTGCTATTGTAATCATTTGCTAGCTAGGTGGTTTAAATGTAACTCTGATTTTGTAAAAACTGGTTCTTATCTTTTCCCATTGTGTTTATGTTTCAGGGCTTACAAACAAAGCCAGGAGGGAGCTTCATAAAGCAGCACGGCGGTTTCTGGAAATATCCTCTAGACTCTTGCTGCGTTCCCTAGATGGTAAGAAACCAAAGTGGACTTCTTACCACTTCACGTGGAAATCTAAATGTCCACAATGAGAAATCATGATTCTTACCGCTGATTTAAAAGCAGATTTTTTTACTTTTTGAAGCACACATTTTCAATCTCAGAAAACTACAGTTACCCTCCCATGTTCATGTGGAGTGAAGGAGGAGAACAAAGGAAACACCTGCCTTCCACATGCACATCCTGTTTTTCAAAGTCACATACTTGTGTATATTCTGCAACTGATTGTTATGTGCCACTTATATTAACTCAATAATTAGCACTTCCTCCCAAAATAATATCCCAATGAGATCTCTAATAAATTAACTTTTGATGTTTTAAAATGAACAGCTGCCAAACTGATGACGCAAGGTTTGTAACTTCCTAGCTGAAGGTGGTATTGTAGACCTGATAGTGAATCAGTGTAGACAGAGTTTGAGAGTGCGTAGAAATGTCTGTAAATATGTCTCCTCTCTGTTTTCTAAGTGTTCTATGAGTTTGTTCTTTGTTTTTTAGAGCACTTTAGCCATGTAGATGCAGACCCACATGAGGTGGCATTATGGGTCCTGTTGAAGAGGACACAGTCGGCCAATAAAGCCATCAGACAACAGGCTGTGCAGGAGCTTGCAGATAATCACAACTGGCATGGTAAAATAAGTAAAGATTGCATCATATCATGTCAATACAACAAGTGAAAGAAGAAGGGATTAGTTTACACCTATTGTTAATATTGCAGACTACCAGTATCGTACAGCAGCCCAGGTTATAGACCAGCGAACAGCAGTGGGCCTGGCCCGGACTCCTCAGGTAGACCTGAGATTCTTCCTGCCCCCGCCTGTGCTACCTCATCTGGAAGATGTATGTATCTTAGGTAAACTACAAGCCTACATATTCTTTTCCTCAGCTTTACCTCACACAAACCGTTGCTAACATCTTCACAGGGTTGGTCGGCAGAGGATGGACTGAGGCAGCTGCTGGCGTCTCTGCCTCTATCTGAGGTGGACAAATGTGTTCAGTACTTCACTTCACTGGCCCTAAGAGAGAGCACTCAGTCCTTGGCTGCGCAGCGGGTAATCCTGACTGATGGATGCACACATGAACTCATTTCTGAAGTCTTTAAGAAGTTGAAATTGAAAACAGTGAGGCTCACTGTTATACTCAAATATGCTCAAATCTATCACAAACACCTGTGCTCTCCCGTGTTGCAGGGTGGTCTTTGGTGTTTTGGTGGCAACGGGCTCCCCTACGCCCAGAGCCTCACCTCTGTCCCCTCAGAGAAGGTAGAATCCTTCTGTCTACAAGCACTGGTACAGCATTCAAAGGTAATGACATCGTAAATACATCATAGAACGACATTCTACTATCAGTTGTGTTGTTCTGCACTCACAACTTTAAAGTTCTTCTAGTAAAAGCTATTTCCAGCACAGTAAACTCTTTCTTTTAGTTCAGTTAATTCATGACTGGAGTGTCTGCAGGGAAGTATTTAAAATGACAATCACACTGGACACAATGTTCTTAAAATGGCATGACCTCATTATCATCAGCTTATGTTGACCGAAGTTTAACAACCAGCTCAGTGAGTCAACTCATGTTGAGAATGTGATTGATGGTGTAAGTAACAATAAAATGCTTTTCTGGTTTTTCCCTTTCCCTTAGTCACATTTCCTTTTGTGTGTGTAAAAGGTCTGATAAGTTATAAAGGCTGCTCCTAAAGTGAATCAAACACCTCTTCTCCATTGCTCTCTCCCCAGACAGAAACAGGATAAGTGAATAACTGTTCAGAACTTACTGAAGCATGGGTTTCTTGTTCACAGGTCCAGAGCCACTGTGACCACATAGTCGCCAACGGGGGCTTGCAGCTCCTCCAGAGGGTTTATCAGCTCCGTAGTGACTCCCTGAAGATTCAGAGGAACATCGTTCGAATCATTGGAAACTTGGCGCTCAATGAGAGTGTTCACCAGGCCATAGCCCAGTCTGGTGAGTCTGTAAATTATCAGATTATTTAGAGGGTTCCGCTCATGTGCAGTCTTGGACTGGGTGTACTAACACCCCCTTTGGATGTGCCTCATTCATTGTGTATATTTGTTCTTTTTTGTCTCTAATTTTTGATTTTAAAACTCTCTGTCCAAATTGTAACAGCTTTTTTACCCACCTCCAGGCTGGGTGTCTGTCCTGGCTGAGATGATACACTCTCCTCACGTCATGCAGGCGTCTCATGCAGCTCGCGCTCTGGCCAACTTAGATAGAGAGACTGTAAGAGAGAAATACCAAGATGGCGTCTACATCCTCCATCCACAAACACGTGGCAAGTAGGAAAACAATTAGTTCCTGTTGTCTCATAATTTTTTAGAATAAGTTTGATTTTATTTGACCTTTAAACCAACATTTGTGTTTGGTAATGTTTTCATTCACAGTCAGCCAATCAAAGCAGACGTGCTGTTCATCCATGGGATTCTAGGGGCCGCTTTTAAGACGTGGAGGCAGAAGGACCGCAGTATGTCGGAGGAGGAGAAGGAGGCAGGAAGCTGGGATGATTACACTGAGTGCTGGCCAAAGGTAAGAGAATCCACTGAATTCTTCTAAGTATGTTAGGATCTCTATAAAGTGTCTTCTCTTTTGTCTTATGTGAGGTCTCATTTGGAATAATCCTTGAGGAAATGAATCATCTCACTGTGTTGGTGCGTTCTCTTGTTGACAGTCGTGGTTGGCTGCTGACTGTCCAAATCTGAGAGTCCTGTCAGTGGAATATGACAGTCACCTCAGTGACTGGATGGCCAAGTGTCCTGCTGAGAATCAGAGGTAAAGAATCCATAGTTTCTTTAAATTCCAACTGGTATTTAAGTATTTAAATGTTGTTAAACAATTGTTAGCTTATTTTACTTAAAACACATAATATTGGATGTGCAAAATCCAAATTATTCATTATACACAATTCCAACAAGAAGCTATCTGAACATACTATTGATGCATTCCTCTCTCTCATGTCTTCAGGAAGTCTTTGGCCTGCAGAAGTCAAGAGCTGCTAAAGAAGTTAAAGCTAGCAGGAGTTGGAGAGAGGCCTGTGGTCTGGGTAGCCCACAGTATGGGAGGTATTTTAACAGACTTTCCCTTCTACAAGTTTATAAGATTTTAATTCACATCTCCTGAACACCACATTAGAAAGAATTGGTGTCTGGTTCTCTCTTCATCCATATCCTCTCGTGTTTTATTTTTCTGTTAGGATTACTCGTGAAGAAAATGCTGCTGGATGCCTCAGAGGACCCTGACATGCAGGAGCTGTTAAAAAACACCAAGGGCATTATGTTCTATAGTGTCCCTCACCATGGCACTTTCATGGCTGAATACTCTGTCAATGTCAGATATCTCCTCTTTCCCTCTGTAGAAGTTCGAGAACTTTGTAAAGGTAAGTGAATACAGTTAATTCTGACCTCCAAGACTATTTGTGTTTAGTAGAAAATCTTCAACGTCTTTAATGTGAGTTGTTCATGTGTATAAAGACTCACCAGCTCTGCGGAACCTGAATGAGAACTTTTTGAACATGGCCAAAGAGAAGGAATTCAAGGTGCTGAGCTTTGCAGAGACGCTGCCAACAAACATTGGTCCAATGATCAAGATACTGGTGGTGCCGTCACAGTCAGCAAGTATGTAACATTAATTCACAAGGGGAATGTAAAAGTCTATCTGTGGTGTATAGTTAATATATCGATGAATGAGCATAATGAGCATGAGTCTTGGAAGCTATACATCTGTCATTTTGTTTCTGTAGCTCTTACCTTGACGCTGCTCTGATTTGGTTCCAGATCTTGGCATCGGTGAGCTCATCGAGGTCGATGTAGATCATCTCAATATCTGCAAGCCAGAGAAGAAGGATTCATTCCTGTACAGACGCAGCCTCCAGTTTATCCAGGAAGCACTGCAGAGCTACATCAGCCACTGACTGAAACAGTGTGAACACTGATATTACCTACAGTATACTTGAAATGGGGGAGAGCACTCACACTCACCAACACCCCAAACCAAATGGAAACATAACTGCCTCCCCTCATTGTTGCACATTAAAACGGACTACTTTGATCTTGGTATAATTAGGAAAATGAAAACTATTTTACACAATGATGGCTATAAAGAGTTGTGATGATAGTTTACTGTTTTATCCTCCTCGTGGATTGATCTGTCTCAATAATAAGTCAGATGAATTCTAAAGATCTGTTTGAATTTTTAAAAGGAATTTAAAATGTTAGTTCAGATAGCTAATTTTTTCTGGCTTTGTTTTTTTAATTAATCTAAATCTCAGCAGTTAAACTTTACTTTACACTGACGTGTCTTTGCCACTAATGCTCATTTTTGACTGGAGCAATGGTTTAGGATTTTATTTTTATATTTATATTTTATCATAACTGCAGTGTGAGAGTTATATTTTGTGCCAAAACATATTCCTCACTGAGCCTTACCTGAAATTGACCTGTATGCATATTAGTTCAGGATGTTTTGTTTATTTTCATGGGACAAATCAAACAGTTGGTTTTTTTAATCTCCATGTGTTTGTATTCCAAACTGCCATCAGCAATACAGACAATGATTACATGCATAAAGTTGGAGGCTTTTTTTTGACTCTGTTACACACTGTGTTGCACTGCTTCATTTTCTTCTCAAAGCTGCTTTATACTGCACATCTCAATATATTCATTTATGTTTCTACGTTATAAGCGCCAAATCATATCACATTCTTACTAAAAATGCTGGTATATATTCCTTTAATCTTGGTGTGTTAGTTTATTGTGGGAAATGTAAATTATTGAGCAGGACTGCTTTATGGTAGTATATACACATCAGTGTGATGCTGTACCTTTATTTGATTCACTAGTTTAGTCCAAAAGTAAATGTACTGTATTTATACAACACTTTTCTATTCTTATCAAACACTCAACGTGCCTTACAGTAGATTCACGTTCACCCATACACACACAGTCATACAGACCAACTTTATGATGCGCTTTTTCTATCAAACGTTCAAGAGTTATTTGGGGTTCAGTTTCTTCCCCACACTTTGAAATGTAGACTAAATGAGCCCGGCATCAAACCATCGATCCGCTGTGCCTGCTGAGCCAAAGCGATTGATGTGAAATGTAACCCGATCAGGTTACATCATCTATCTACAGCTTCACAATAGATGTTCACTAAGTTTACAACATGTCTTATGTGATGAAATGAAGATGTAAAATTACCACAGAAGTCATCAGAGCTGATTCAGGTGAGCTGGTGTTCCTAATAAAGTGGAGGGTGAGCGGATACCTATGTGTACGCCACATGCGATTTTTTTTTGCAGAGCTGATGATTGTCCTTCGGCGCACACCGTACTTCAGCCCACAATGCTTTGCAAGTTAGCAGTAGCTAACAAGCAGCTAACAAGCTACCGAAACACCGACTGGTCTGTTTTTCACTTCGTCTGTGGATCGTAATCAGGTCTGTTAATATTCATTAAAGTCTCAATCTATTCTGTATTTTAAAACCACTGTATCTAGCACACTTTCACTGGGGATACGTATTTAAGCTCTAACGCTAGTTAGCTAATAATGCTAAACACAAAGCCAGAAGTTATGTAAACAGTAGCAGTGTTAGCATGTTAAGAAACTAATATCATTGAAAAAGGCCCAGTATGAAATGTTCCGCGGTTTACTCTTTGGTTTATTTCTTGTGATTCACTTTGTATCGTTGGCTGTTGTTGCTTAAGCTACTCGTGTTTACAAGGAAGTCACTTGTCTTCACTGTGTTGCAGGTGTTGAGCATTTTAGCTTCTGGATTTCTCTGCACCTGCAAACATGGTCAACGTGCACAAAGGTGTTCTCATTGAATGGTAAGAGAATCTGTCCATCTGCCCAGAAATGTCACCAACCTACAACTCACTTTTCAAGTAATATTCCCTCTCTTCTCTGTCACGTCTCAGTGATCCCGCCATGAAACAGTTCCTCCTCTACCTGGATGAAAAGATGGCTTTGGGGAAGAAGTTCATCCTCAAGGACCTGGACGACACACACGTGTTCATCCTGGCAGAGGTGGTTCAGATCCTCCAGGAAAGGGTCGGCGAGTTAATGGACCAGAACTCATTCCCCTTCACGCAGAAATAACACAACTGTCAGATCTTGGACTTTTGACTGTTTAAGCCTGGATTAAATAAGATGTGCAATGTTTTAAAAGGAGTCTCTTGTTTTTGTAACATTTGTTATACGTTTGAATAAAATGTTCATTTTGCTCCTTGGTGTCACACTGGCTTACATCGTAGTGTCTTTGTTGTGTCCAATATCTATGTTGACAACTTTTGTTTCTTGATAATGTACTAAACACAAACTAATATTACTTTACCTCCAACACATCATATATGGATGCAGTTATCTCTGTGTATTGGGAATATAGCAGGTGAAACAGCCCTGTTTGCTCAACAGTCACATTTACAGATTGTCAATCAGCCTTCAAAAATTGTTGAAAGTAAATAAACAATGAAATCCTTTCTTAAAAAATGATCCATGGCACCAATAGTGTTTATTGTTAAACAGTTTAGAACACAGTGGAATTCACACTTAATAAGTAACAGTCAGGAAACAGTGAATAGGTGTCATCACTTATTCCATCTGTGGAGGTTCATGTGAAACATACTGTGGGAGACACGTGTATTAAAAACAAGAAACTGCTGGTTTATGTTGCGTTCACGTACACAATACATTTAAGCATTGTTAACAGAAGCAGGCTCCACATACTACGAAGCACACATCTCACAAATAGCCAGTTATGACTTTAAAGTAGGTTATAAATAAGTCACATGAATAATTGAACTTATACTCGCAGTTGCATTAACCATAACTATTTAACGTTACAACTATAACTGATATGTCAAGGAAAGCTTCAGATACTTTCATTAAACAGAGAGAGGGGGGTGCACCGTTCCTGGAGGTACTGCAATACCAGGTCGATGCGTGGAGTGGACGGAGCAAGCCCCTATTCCATCTCCCTATTCCAAAAATCAATTTAATATATGGTCCCCGGGTAGGGGACGTATCAGATATTAAACTGATAAGAACAGATACTACACTTGATCTTAGCCAAAAGGCCGAGAAGCGATAACATTACCATAACTTCGGAGGGCTCCTGGTTCTCCTCACCGCTCCTCTCAGTCACGGTTCAATAAAAGTTCATTAACAGGAAACTTCCACCAGKGAAGCAGAAAACACAGTTTGATGTCCAGACGCTGATCGGACTCAAACAAACACACAATCGTTCGTTAGATCGACAACATTAGGAAACTTCAAGAGTGTTCATGCTACCACGTGGTCTGCTGCCGTCCAATAGGAGACCGCTACGACAGAGCATCGCTGTCTCTTCTCTAAAGCTTCAGTGGCGAGTGGAAGGATTCATTTCTTAGGATTTACATCATTATAGAGTTTCTTTATAACCGTCACTGATCAAAGGGTCGCGAGTGTTCGTGGAAATAACACAAACACACGCGGTGAAAGCGGAAGAGATTAACGGAGATAAAGTGGGCTCTGTCGCCCCCTGGTGACGAACCAGGAAACAGCACCCAGCCTGAACCCTCAATGGCTTTCAAGCAAACCACATTACGCAAAATTTTATTTAACCTCAAATATATCATCAAGAATGTTTAGACATATATCTGATCACAGGCTCGTTTGTTTGGGTGAAAATAACCAAAATATACGAGTTTACATTTGAGTCAAGAAGAAAACAGTGGAACACACGGCGGAGCTGTGTCTGTGGTGGGGGTGTACAGCAACTGAGGTGAGTATTGAAAAACTTTTTTTAAAGTTAGTAAAAGCGCTACTGTACCTCGAGCTGCCACATTTTTCCTGTTTTTTTTTTTTCACCTTACATGTTAGTTCAATACCATTCATATTGTTCGTGTTACTTATATTACTTACTGATGCCTATTTTGACTTTTGACTTCCTAACAGTGTGGCAACGAAGGCAGCTGCCTCCAAACAATGTGGCAACAAAGGCAGCTGCCTCCAAACAGTGTGGCAACAAAGGCAGCTGCCTCCAAACAGTGTGGCAACAAAGGCAACTGCCTCTAAACAGTGCGGCAACAAAGGCAGCTGCTTTAACATATCAGTGGCAGTTTTCTGGTGACACCAGTAGTGCCTCTACGAACTCCCGCTGCCACAATTTGAGCTTGCCCTTACTGAACTATGGATGAATATCAGACAGAAGAAGAGGTGGGTTTGATTTCATAATTCTGTTGTTTGTTACCATATTATTCGTTTTACGTTGTCTCTAATATCGTAGCCAACAACTCATCGCTTCGCCTGAACATAGAAAATGAGCATTAGCGTCAGTAGCTTTATCTGCAACATTTTGTTTTTCTCCTAACAGACCGCGTTTGTTGATGAAGAAGTGACAAAAGTTATCAAGGAGGTAATGTTAACAGCTTCCTTATGTGTCGTTAAGTTGTGGGTTTTATCTGCTCTTTGCTTTAGCTGCTAACTTTGTGCCTAGCTTTTTAGCTACTAGTTGGTTGCTAAAGAACACTTTAACGGTTGCTAGGAACAGAGCCCCACAGTTGATGTCAAACCACGCAACAGATATTAGAGCAATTTGTATTCAGTAGTTTTCTGGTTAAGTTGTATTTTATGTTATGGATTACAGATCTTGTTTTGTAACATGTTTCAGCTT